CACAATGTGCCAAGAAAATATTCATTTGGACAATTGAGCTAGGAGTTCTGTCCTTTTGAAATCGTGAAGAAAAAAAACTTATTTTGGAACTTAGAAAATTTTCTAAGTGTTGAGCTTCATAATGACCTATAATGTTTTGCAAACTTACAAGCCCTTCCCCTCAAAATTAGCATTTGATTATTGAATATGAAATGGAGCGGACTCTTTAAATGTATTCATGGAATTGGAGTAACTCAAAAATCATTAAAAAAAATGATGGGGTTATGACTTTTGGAAGTTGATGAAAGATTGAAGAGAAATCCACAAATGACCTATAATGTTTTCACCAAGTACATAACTTTCCACACCCTTTTAGATCTTGATCTTTGAATCAAAGTTCTAGTAGAAATTCTCAAGTTCATTATGAAAAAATAATGAGCTCAAGGAGATAAAAATTGATCAACTTATGATCCTTTGAAGTTAAGTTAGAGAATTCAAGAGCTTTTTCAAAGGACTTGTAATCTTCTTCCAGCTTTAATGATCTTCCACTCAAAATAAACCTTATATCCTTGAAGATAAGTTATTAAGGACTCTTTAAAGAGAATCATGGATTTGGAATCAACTAAAAATCTCAAAAATTGAGCAAGATATGATCTTTGGAAGTCAACCAACCCATACTCAGAAAGTCCAAAAGTGACTTGTAACCCCTTTCAACTTTTGATGATTTTCCTTGCACAATTAGATCTTGTCATGTGAAGAGAAGTTGTTGTAGATGATGATAAGAATCATTATAAAAAAGAACCTCTTCAAAATATTGAAAATTGAGAAAGTTATATACTTGTGGACTTGTTTAAATTAGGTCAAACTACTTGAATCAACATTGCATCTTTTGAACTTTCCTTGCTAATTATGGAATGATGAATCACATTAGGCCTTGCAATGATGTTATTTTGAAGCACACTTAATGATGAAGATTAAATCCCAATGAAACTTGTTGAAGAAGGCACGAAAATAAACACACGAACCTAAGAATCTTCTTGATGAATCGAACAACTCTCTTTGAGACAAGTTTGATCTATGAAGTTGAGAGTGCTCTTTAGAACAAATAATTTTAAATACATGACCATGCCTTGAAGTTTAAGCTTTTGAAATCCATTGAATAACCATTTGGCTGAGGATCAACTTTCAAAACCCTAGGTTCGGTGGTGAGATGGATGTAATTGTGTTAACACCTACAATATAAACATCCAAGGAAACATATATACATACTTTTGATGTTAGTTAAGAATTAGTAACCATAAGATACGCATATACAAGATACATAATTCAAGGTGCTTGGTGATCCCTCAAGGGAAAACTTACAGAAATGACAGAGTAGAAGAGAGAACCATCCCCAATGTGTAGTCTTGGTGCATTGTGATGATATGGAGTGATGTAGGATCTTAGGGGAAAATTTAGGGTATAAAACGAATGTCTAAAACCTTGTATTGACGTTATTAAAGATACTTAAATACATAACAAACCCTATTTTTAGCCCTAAGATGCCATGCAATGCTTATAACTATGAATGTAAAAGACGAAATTCACGGGCGAAAAAAGACACCACCGGGGAAGAGAAAATGATATAGACAGACTAAAAATGAGAGTTTAACAAAGAAAATAAATTACTAGAGAACAACACGACTCTGGGTGTAACTATGAATAGGCAACTCTAACATCACATTTAAGGAAACGAAATGCAAAGTAAGAATTTTAATGGGGAAATTCTTAACGATGCAAGAAGCAAGCCAACAAGGAGGTAATCTTTAAGAAATGGTTACCAACTCGAATGGGGAAAGAAACTTGACTATTGGAGAAAAATCAACTCCACTGGGGAAAAGAGGACTCAACTCTACGGGGGTAAATCCAACAGAGGAGACAAAGTAACATCAACTTAATAAATGAGGAAGTAATACCGACTCACAGGGGATAGTAAACTATCAACCCGAAGTATGAGGGTAGAAAAAAATAGAATAATACTAGCTTATGGGAGGCAATAAACATCCGCTTAATACGGGTAAAATATGTATCATAATGAAAAGTTTCCCAAAGTTCTGGGTTCCACCTAGAACAGGTCTCAAGTTATTCTTTAACCAAGGTATTCTACCTAGAAAAGGTAATAAACTTCACTTGATTTCTGGATTTTACCGAGAACAGTAATAGTTTCTTCTTTGATTAATATATCACTTGAAAGGGGTAATAAACTATTGTATTATCTTTCAACGGACTATCTTTGTCATATTAAAAGAAGAAACATACATTGGAGTACAAACAACCTCAACAACTAACTATCTCCCATAACAAAAAGACCACCATCCATAGGAGTAAAACAAATCTCAGCAATGAACTATCTCCCATAACTAAGAGACCACCATCCATCAGAGTAAGCAAAATCTCAACAACGAACTATCTCCCATAATGAAGAGACCACCATCCATCAGAGTAAAAAAATCTCAACAATGAAATATCTTCCATAACAAAGATACCACCATACATTGGAGTAGAACGAATCTCAATAAAGAACTATCTCCCATAAAAAAGAGACCACCATCTATTGGAGTAGATCAAATCTCAACAACAAGCTATCTACCATAACAAAGAGACCACCATCTATCGGAGTAAAACAAATCACAACAACGAACTATCTCCCATAACAAAGAGACCACCATCCATCAGAGTAGAACAAAACTCAACAATGAACTATCTCCTATAACGAAGAGACCACCATCTATCAGAGTAAATTAAACCTCAATAACAAACTATCTCTCATAAAGAAGAGTCCACCATCCATCGGAAAAGATTGAATCTAAATAACAAACTATCTCCCATAATGAAGAGACCATTATCCATTGAAGTAAATCAAATATCTACAACAAATTATCTCCCATAACAAAGAGACCACCATCCATCAGAGTAAAACAAATCTCAACACAAACTATCTCCCATAACGAAGAGACCACCATCCATTGGAGTAAAACAAATCTCAACAACGAACTACCTCCCATAACGAATAGACCACCATCTGTGATACGGTGGGAGAACTGACTTGAGGTGTTTGCGTTTTCATCACATTTGTGCGGATAGCAAGAGTCGCCACCGACTTTTCTTTTATCCAAAAGGAAAGGTAAAAAAGCACAGGAAAGACCTTTCGAGATTACTTCTCGGGTTCGGGGGGTAGATTATGAAGAGGGAAGGTATTAGCACCCTTTTCATCCTTAGTTATCTAGGGGCTCTTAGTTACTCGCTAGATCACTTGCTTTTATTTGACACTATGCTTGTGGTGTGTTTTTTGAAAGTATTTTGAAAATGCCTTTGTAATGGTTCTTATTTCTATAAGAACGCATACAAAGTGTTGTTTCGAAAAATAGTTCAAAGATGTGTTTGTGGAAATGTGTTTTTGAAAGTGGTTTTGAAAAGATGTTTTGTAATGGATATTGTCTCTATAAGAACGTATACAAAATGTTTTGTCTTTTGAAAATGTTTTGAGATGAAAGTGTTGGTGTAAAAATGTTTTTTTGTCGTGAGCAACCAAGAAACTAAGAGCGAATATACATACTCTAAAGGTCTTAAATTTTCTTTTCTTCCTCCTTTAAATGTTGCTATCTTACCATTGATTTGGTAAGAAGCCCCATCGTTGGATGTGAAGGGACAGGCGCGGGTCAATCGTACAGACATCGAAACCAACTTATGGGACGCTTTAGCAATTTTCGTAAGGGATAAGATCGTTTTATCGAAGGCAACATTGAGGGTCATCGAGGAACAATGATCTTTTTTATCGAAGGGTCCTTGCTAAAGCGTCCCATATTCGAGGGACATGACTTTATTTCTGAGGCAACGAGCGAGGTTACCCTAGAGGTGCGCGTGTGAAAAAATATGTTCATTTCAAGTTAATTTTGTTGAAATTAGGTTATCTAGCGATTGTTTTTTTATCTTGCCATACACGCCTAATTACTATACAGTATGAGGAAAACAAGTAAAGTGCAAAAAATAAAATTCTACGCTATTACAGAGCTTTGGGGAATGGGGGTACAAATTTACAAATGGGGATGGATCGAATGCGATTAAAAGGTTCAAATAGCAAACAATACAACCAAATCGAATTTAACAATTAATTAAAATCACAACAGTCCATGAAGTAAAATTAATTGACAAAGTATGGAAATTTTGGTATTTTTGTTTGTGAGGAAATTTGAAAAGAAACTAAAGATCTATTCTATAATTAGCTAAAGAAATAAATCAAATGTAAACCTACTTTTGTCTTTTAGGGTTTTTTGTTATTAAGAAATCAAATAAATTAAATCTTAAGCAAAAAATAATTAGTAAAATTAATTACAGAATTTTCCTAAATTAAAAATTAAACTAAACTAAATAAGAAAATAAGTTAATTTGGAAGTTTATATGTTTTTAGTTAGCTAAACTCTAAAGATTAAATTAATTTTTAAGGTTACTAAAACTAAACTATTTTAAAATCTTAAAACTAAATTAATACTAAATTTAAACTAAACTGATTATGAGAAGGGGTGGGGGTTTGAAACAGGAGTGAGGTGGAGTTGGCCTGGATTTACTGGCCTTACTGATCCTAAAACAAAAGGCCCAAGGTAAAAAACAAAGTTGAAAAAAATTGATTAAAAAAAAGATTGGCCGGACCGGGTCAGGCCCGGACCCAGTTTCTCACTCAAGTCAAACGGCTTGTATAACCTTAGACCAAATCAAACGCCTATCATCTCTCTCTCACCGTTCTCTTCTTTGTTCCAATGGTTAACCCTATGATTTTCTCTCTTTCTATTCTCTTTGCTTCTCCGCCGTCATCAATCAACAGCCAACAATATTCCTCCTTTATCTCCTAATCGCGTAAGAACGACAACATAAAGTACTTCTCTGTTATACAAAAATCTCCTTCGGTATCTCTCTCTCTCGCGCGGTTTCGCAGCAATAGCAAAAAAAAAGGAAATGCAAGAGTGTTCATAGAATAAAAAGAAAGCATGAATATAGAGCGATTGGAAGAAATAAAGGTTACCGAGTTGAGGAAATCAATTGCTCTTTCAGGTACGCTGTTTCAATCTCTTCAGTGCGATATTTTCCTTTTTTGCTTTTACGATTCTATGTTGTTGTTGTTGCTATGAGTGTTTTAGTTTGTTGTTGTGCAATGATGGAAGACAGAAGTCCGTGTGATGATGGTGATGCTCAGTGAAGGCGAAATCACCGGTTTACGCAACAAAAAATGGAAGGTGATGATGGCTGGATGTGTTACCGTTGGTGGTTTTGAAGAGACTGAGGAGATATGTGAGGGAAGAGAGTATTGTAGTTGTTATAATAGTGGTGATGTATATAGGAGGAAGTTTGAGTAATGCGATTGAAGAGTGATGATGATGGTTTGACGGTGAATGATGAGTGAAGAGTAATAAAGGGAGTTGTTATTCAGATACGGAAAGGAGAAGATACGGCTTTTGAAGAGTGGTGTTGAGAGATGAAGGGTGTTTGGTGATGTGGATTCAGGTTGATCATTTGGAGGTTAAATGGGAGTTGTGATGTAGAGGATGGAGTATGAAGAGGAAATTGCTGTTGTGGTTTGGATGAGAGGAAATCAAAGGGAGTTATGTGAAATTTTCTGTGTATGTTTTTTTTAGTATTTTGTCCCCTGGTTTTTTTCCTGTTTGCTGGTTTTTTATAACAGCATGAGGTTTTTTTAGTTGGATGGCCAAAATCAGCCTTTTTCCTTGAACAAGTTTGACTACTATTATATAAGAGAGGTAGTGAAATTTTTTTTATGAGTTTTGAATAACTTGGTTAACTGCTCTGGGGACTTTTTGAGTGCGGGTTGATGTTTTTGCCATTTTAGTGCAACTTGTGGTGCAGGTTGTAGCATGGCTGTTTTTGCAGCCAGTTTGTTTTGTGATAGCAGTTGGCTTGGCAATTTTGGGACTGTTTATGGCCTAGGTGATATCTTTCCATAATGTAAAGCAATTTTGCTTTGCTAAAATTTCTGAAGGGTTTGCAAAGATTAGGAAAATGATGACACCGTGTTTTTGATGAGAAAGTTGACTTGCTCTTTTGTTTGGTTTGGCATTTGGTTGTTTGTTATATTTGCTATGATGCTGCCTTGTTTTAGTTTATGTTGTTCTGCTATGTTCTGTTGTGCTTCTTGCAGCCTGTTTTAAGTGTAGCTGTATATTTGTTGTTTACTTCCTGCTGCTGGCCACTTGTTGCCTGCTGTTAGCCACTTGTTACCTGCTGTTTTAGCTGTTGCCTGTTTGGACTGTTATAGTAGTTTGTTGTCTTTTACTTTTCTGCTGCAGTTTTGGGCAGTTTGGCTGTTGATTGTTGTTGCTTGCTGTTTGTATAGCAGGTTAGGTAGCTTGCTGCAGAAGCAATGCAGTTTTGTTGTTTGCAGCCTTGGGCTGTTGTGCTTGTGATTGTTGTTGCCAATTTTATTTTTTTTCTTTTGTGAACCAAGAAAGGTAATCTTTTTTGTGATTTGCAATTGGGGAGAGGGATTATGATAAAACAAAATCAGACCAAAATTCTGATTCCTATCTGCAAACCCTAGTGATGAATCAGCGAAAATAAAACTTTGAAAATTTCTTATTTATGCTTCATTATTTATGTGCTGATCATATTTTTTCTTCTTTGATTTGTTTAATGTGATGGTATGGAGAAACAGCAAGGCGATTTATAATTGGAAGTCATGGATAGGCTTGAAGGGAAATGATGATGTCTTGAAGGAAGGGGGCTGCCATGAAGCTTGAAGAATATCTCGAAGATTTTGGGAGGATTTAAACATGTTTACGACCTAGGATTAGGCTTTGGATGTAAAGTCCCTTTAACACTTGTAATTTGAAACTAATCTTGGAATCATAGCTTGTAATTTGCAATTTACAATTGTAACTTGAATTTGATCTTTGAAAAAAAAGTCTTGGTAAGCATTTGGATGAAACAAAATAATGCCCTTGTAGTTTCCTTTCTAAACTTAAAAAGTTTCTTCCATTTCGAATCTTGAACTAAAGACAAATTCAAAATAAATGAATTATGCCTTGTATGCTTGAGCTGAATTGGGATCAAAGGCATCATTTGAATGGATCCTCAAATATATTTCACTAAAACTCTAAGTCACATCCTCAATTCATAGTAACTTGCAATACAAGTCAATGATACTCGAGTGAACAAATAGTGTCTTAAGAAAACTCAATCAAAAATCCACTGTAACCTAATAAACACCAATGCTTCAACACCAATGACTTGAAGTCAGCGACAAAAAAACAAGGAATCCCCGATCTCAACATAAGAATCAATATCCTTGAGAAAATAAATATGGCAGGTGTTGAAATTAGAAGTAAAAAACATTCTAATCAAGGAAATGATCTATGACAATTTGATAACTCCCAGGGTCTTCTAAGCACAAGTTTCCTTTGATTCTTGAAGAGAACTTGTTGATGACATCACTTAGGACAATGTGTAAAAATAATCGTCTCAAGGTCTTGCAATTTGAAGAAATAACAATCAGACGGCCGTTATTTGAAATTAGGTCAAAATTCAAGATGCGGCTTCTAACGCATTCTAATTTTGGTGATCTTCTACGCGTAATCAGCTCTTGACTTGTGAAGAGAAATTTGAGGTGGCATCAAGGAGAATCATACGCAAGGAAAATTGCTCAAAAATATTGAATAATGAAGAAGTTAAGATCGTTTGAACTTGATACTGAAAAGGCCGACTTTTGCAGTTGATTTTTAGTCATTTGAACCATTGACTGAGCAAACTCACAATGCGAGGCTTGAAACTTGGCACAAACATCCTTGAGAACACATGAAGTGCCATAAAGACCAATTAAAACTTTTGAAACTCAATTTTGCTTTAAGAAATACCAAACTCTAGCTGCTGACTCAATTCCTAGGAAGAGAATATGTTTGATCAAATCATGTGCCAAATTGAGTGTTTGAGAAACTCTGGGATATCATCTTGAGCGAAAAATGGGAGGGAAAATTTTGGGGTACAACACCATCCATTAGATTAAAATGAAATAATATTCTCTAGGAACTAATCATACTTACTGGGGAAGTACAAGTTGCCCAAATAAAGAGACTGCCACTTGTTGTTATAAGAAGGAATTGCAATAACACATTGGGAATTGAATTTTGACTTCCTTGGAAAATACCAACACATTCCTTCTTAGGAGATAAAGTCCTTACGTGGAAAATAAATGCACTCTCAATCTAGATTTTACAGTTTGGAGAGATCAATAACATTGTTGTTAGGGATCAAAGTTCAAACCAGGGACAAACCATAGTGAAATAATCAACCAAGACACTAACCAATAAGGAACAAACTCAAATGGGGATTAATTTTATCCAGGTAAAGAGTTGCGTAGGAAGGCTAAAGCAAAATTATCCCAGGAGGGATTACTCAGTAGGGAAGGTGGAAGGATACACACTTTCTGCTCAAGGTTGACATTGTATTAGAGAGGATACACACCATGCAAAGAAATTTAAAATATCAACAGAAACATTAATGAATGAAAACAAGCAATGAACTTTAATTCTGCTATGCATGATGTATGTATGAATGGATGAATGTTGTTATGCATATGTTAACAAAACATACATACTACACTAGGAATCAACAGACAACACAATGTTGTGTGAAGACAACACTCGGCTAAATTGGATCCAGGATGGAAATCCGTACGAGAGTGAACAATCAACTGACGAAACAATGTCCTATTTCAAGGTCTTACTTCTCTCGGAAGGAAAAATGTCTTGAAAACAATTAAAGCACATTCCTATAGTAATAAACCACGAAGCTAATGGGACATAATAAACTTCTCCATGCTCCACTATGGAACATCATACAAACTTTGTTATAGAAGATGATACCACATCTGTTGGGACGACGATAAACAATCTTCAATATTTAAGAATAATGACTGCACAAACTCTTCCGCGGAAGATCAAAGAAACTTAATGGGGATGTTAAAATTTAAAGGGAAATATCATCCTCGATTTATCTGGGGAAATTAAGAAGTTATCATCACAGCAAAATGTCAGAATTATGGGGATTTTAAATCAAACTCAGCATATGGTGAGCGTAAAAACCCAAAAAATTGACAGTTGTCTCAATACTTCTCAAGGAATATATTTCCCTTTTCTGGCTACTTGGGGAGAAGAAGATATCAGTTGTGTCATAATTATCAAGGAGTAAAATACTAATCACAAACTGGAGGGGGAATAAGAATCACACCTAGTTGGAGAACCCCGGATCAAGTCTTAACTAGGGAATATGGAAGAGTAGTATCAACCAACACAGACTCGACACCATATAATAAACTGAAGGGGATCCAACTATCCAAAGAGTAACTTTAGATGCATTAGGCACATATTAGTAGATGCAACCAGAGAATACTTCCTTAGGGATAACTTTCTAAAACCTTGGAGCTCATCCATCTTTGGAACGACCACTTTTATTCCCTTGATTCACAAAATCGAAGTAAAAAGTATTTTGCCAGTTTTTTTCAAAAACATGTTTTATTATTTAAATATTTTGTTTTGAATTTTACTATCAATAATAAATAAACTTTTTGTAAGCTGAAATAAGATAATATTGCAAATAATTGGATAAAGGCTCAAATTTCATTGATAGAATGGTAGTCCGCAAATGGTGAGACTCCATAGATGATTAAAAAGTTTGGAAAATGGTAAATACATGGAAAAAGGTACATTGAAACACAATGATCACTATTCTCTCTAACAACTTTGAATTCCTATGCATAGGATTTAGTTGAAGTGCGATGAGAACCCAAGAAGATTGTTGCTCCAATGATCAAGTCTTGTTTGATGTAGTTACTTGCCTAGAAATCCATAACTTTTTCCTAGGTTTCCCTTGCAGGTTTTCAACCTACCTGGAAAATTCATTCTATTTATGTCTCTAATTTTTTCCTAGACCGCCCTTTCGGGTTTTTAGCCTACCGAGAAACTCATTTTTTCCTAAGTCACCCTTTCAATTTTTCAACCTAGCGAGATGTTCTTTTATTTTATTAGGCGAAGTATTTCTTGACTGCATCAACATTCACGAAACGTGGGAACTCTTCACCCTTCCTAATTTCAAGAATTAAAGCACCGCCAGAGAAGGCTTTCTTGATAACATATGGACCTTCATAATTAAGAGTCCACTTGACCCTAGAATCAACATTAAAAGACATGATTTTTCTGAGCACGAGGTCCTCTTCTCTGAATTCATGAGGCTTGACCTTCTTATCAAAAGCTTTCTTCATTATTTTCTCATATAACAAACCATGACACAAGGTCGTCATTCTCTTTTCTTCAATTAAATTCAATTGATCAAACTTGCTTTGGACGCATTCAACCTCTGATAATTTAGTTTCCATGATTACACGCAAAGAGGGAATTTCAACCTCAATGGGGAGCACTGCTTACATACCATACACAAGAGAGAATGGGGTGGCCCCTGTTGAAGTGCGGACGGAGGTAGGATACCCATGTAATGCAAAAGAAAGCATCTCATGTCAATCACTATAGGTTACAACCATCTTCTGGATAATCTTATTAATGTTTACATTAGAAGCTTCAACAACCCAATTCATCTTAGGCCTATAAGGAGACGAGTTGTGATGGACAATCTTGAATTCTTCACAAAGTTCTGCATCATCTTATTATTCAAATTAAAAGCGTTGCCAATGATAATCCTGTAAGAACCAGATTTGGTTCTGTAATATTATCTCTAAGTTTTGATGATAACAAATGAGTATGTTTGTGTGAACAATTTTGTTGTAATAATGTTTGTTATTGTTGAGTACTTAACAAATAGTTTCTACTTCTGATGGATGGTGTGGCGAAGACATTAGAAGCGAATTATTTTTGCTTCTGCGTTACACAAGTTCTGTTTAACAGTAACAAGATACTACAAAAGGCTCTAAAGTCTAAGCTCTTGTGTTTGACTAAAGAAA